GTCTGGCTGTTCCTAATAAAACTAATTAGTCTTACCATACGATCCAGCAGTTGTTCTGCTGGGTATTAAATGCACTGAAAATGTATGTCCACAAAAACTTGCACACAATTATATATTGTAGCATTTGTTCATATCACTAAAAATTAAAAGCAATTTAGAGGCCACTCAGTAAGTGAATAAACAAATTGCTATACATCTAAACAACAATATTATATTTAGTGATAAAAAGAAATGAGTTATCAAGAAAACGTGGAGAAACAGTAAATGTATATTGCTAAGTGAAAAGCATTTGAATCTGAAAAGACTACATAATTTTAACTATGAGACATTCTGGAAAAGGCAGACACAATGCAGAACATAAAATATATGTGGTTGTCAGCAATTTGGGTCATGCTGGGGCTTAAGTGAGTAGGAACGAATAGGTAAAGCACAGGAGATTTTTGAAAGAACGAACTATTCTTTATGATACTGTAATGGTAGATACAGGACATCCATTTGCCAAAACCCAGAACTGTACCACAGAAAGAGTGAATCCTAATGTAAAGTATATTCTTTAGTTAGAAACAATGTACCGGGCCGGCCCGGTGGCGCACTGGATAAGTGCGCCGCTTGAGAAGCGCGGCGGCGCTCCCGCCCGAGGGTTCGGATCCCACATACAGACCGGTTCCCGCTCACTGGCTGAGCGAGGCACGGGGGCAACGCCGAGGGTTGCGATCCCGTTGCCGGTCCCCGGTCCGGTACGGGGGCAACACTGAGGGTTGCGATCCGTTGCCGGACACGGAAAAAGACAAAAGACAAAAAAATAAAATTAAATTAAATTAAAAATAAAAACAATGTACCTATATTGTTTCATTGATTACAATAAACATACCACATTTAATGCAAGATGTTGCAAAAAGAGGAAACTATGACCATGGGTTAGCAGCTATTCTTTCTTTCCTTGTCTTATTGCATTAGCAAAGATTTCCAGGATGATAGTGAATAAGAGTGGTGTGAGAGGACATCCTTGTCTTGTTTCTGATTTTAAGGGTGCTATGGTTCAAATATTTGTTCCTTCCAAAGCTTAAGTTAAAATTAAATCCCAGTGTAACAGTGTTGAAAGGTAGGCCCTTTATGAGGTGATTGGATCATGAGAGCTATGCCCTCATTAATAAATTAATACATGCATGGTTTGATGGCATAATGGTTATTAGGGAGTAGACTGGGGACTTTATAAAGATAGGAAGAAAGCATGTGGAAATGTGCTCTTGCTCAGCCCTCGCTATGTCATACCCTGTATCACCAGGAGACTCTAGAGAGTCCCCACCAAGAAGGCCCTCACCAGATGTGCCCCCTGGAGACCTTAAACTTCTCTTCCTCCCAGACTTTAAGAAATCAGTTTTGTTTCTTTAATTACCCAGTTTCAGATATTCTATTAAAATTGACAGAAAACTGAGTAGTGCAGGGGGAAGGATGTAGTTTTTCTTTCTTTCTTTCTTTTTTTTTTTTTTTGGTGGCTGGCAGGTTTGGGGATCTGAACCCTGACCTTGGTGTTATAACACCAGAGTCTAACCAACTGAGCTAACTGGCCAGCGCTAGAATGTAGCTTTTCACCATTAACTATGACACTACCTAGGGTTTTTTCATGTTCATAATCAAGACAAGCAACTTCTTTATTCCTAGTATGCTGAGACTTTTTATTAGGAATGGGTGATGGATTTTGTCAAAAGCTTTTTCTACATCTATTGATATGATCATATGATTTTCTTTATCCTGTTGATAAGAGGACTACATTAATTAATTTTTGAATGTTAAACTAGCCTTGTGTACCTGCAATAAACTCCACTTGGTCATTGTACAGAATTATTTTTATACATTATTAGATGCAATTTGCTAATATATTGTTGAGAATTTTTTTGCATCTATGTTCATGGGAAATAACCCATATTTCTTTTTTCTTATAATATCTTTATCTGGTTTTGGTATTAGCCTAATGTTGTCTTTATAGAATGTGTTAGGAAGTGTTCCCTCTGCTTCTATTTTGTGGAATAGATTGCAGAGAATTGATAAAATGTCTTCCTTAAATGGTTTGTAAAATGCACCAAGGAAACCATATGGGGCTGGTGCTTTCCTTTATTGGCAGGTTATTAATTATTGATTACATTTCTTTAATAGATATAGGTCAATTCAGATGATCTGTTTCTCCTTTTGTGTTTTGATAGATTGTGTTTTTCAAGGAATTGTTCCGATTAATCTAGTTTATCAAATTTGTGGTTTGGAATTGTTTATAATATTTTATCATCGTTTTAATATCCGTGTTATCAGATATGATGGCTTCTTTTTTATATTTGGTATTAGTAATTTGTGCCTTCTCTCTTTATTTCTTGGTTAGCCTGGCTAGATCAATTTTATTGATCTTCTCAAAGAAACAGCTTTTGTTTCATTGATTTTCCTCTATCGATTCCTTATTTTCAATTTCATTGATTTGTGCTGTTTTCATTTTTTTTTTTTCTGACAGATTTAGACTTATGTTGCTCTTCATTCTCTAGTTTCCTAAAGTGGAATATTACAAAATATAGATTTATATTTTTCTTCTTTTCTAATGTATGCATTCAATAGTATACATTTCTCTCTAAGCACTGCTTTTGCTGATCTCAGAAATTTTTTTTTTCCTTTTTGTCTTTTTTCGTGACCGGCAACGGATCACAACCCTCAGTGTCGCGCCTGTACTGGACCGGGACCGGCAACGGGATCGCAACCCTCGGTGTCGCGCCCGCACCTCGCTCAGCCAGTGAGCGGCTGGTCTGTATGTGGGATCCGAACCCTCGGCGGGAGCGCCGCTGCGCTCCCAAGCGGCGCACTGTAGCAGTGCGCCACCGGGCCGGCCCTGATCTCAGAAATTTTGATAAGATATATTTTCATTTTCTTTTAGAAAAAAATTTATTACTCAATGGGACTTTTTTTTGGCAGCTGGCTGGTATAGGGATCTGAGCCCTTGACCTTGGTGTTACCAGCACTACACCTTAATTAACTAAGCTAACTGGCCAGCCCTCTCAATGGGACTTTCTAAAGAGGGGAGGACAAGGGTAAACTGGTTCAGGTAGTTTGAGTGGAGTAGAGAGAGTGGGTCAGGCCTTCATTGTGTCCGGTGGTTGAGGCTGGAGGGTTTCAAGGTTTGACCCTCCTACCTGCTAGTACAAAAAGGGGCATATTTGAGTTTAACTGAGTTCCATGTTGTGAACCAGCAGGGGAAATGGGTATGTATCTAACAGTCAAACATCGAAAATGGAGACAGTTCAGATCCCTATACTAGCCAGCCACCAAAACAAAAGATAAAAATTAAGACAGTGTCTTTATTAAAATTTACTCCTGATGGTTGACGTTGACTGGATATGCCACAAGTAATTTACATGAATTTGAAATTAAATATGGAATTAAAAAGCCAAGTGACTCAGTTGATGAGAGGGTGATGTTATAACACCAAGGTCAAGGATTTGGATTCAAATACCTGCCTGCCACAAATAAATAAATAAATAAATTTTTAAAAGCTAAGTGAAAAGCACAGGCAACATACTATAATTAGATGAGGAAGCCTCGAAAAAACATTGGAACCCAGATATCACAGTGTGGGGGAGAGACCCAGAAAATGTCAGTGGGGTTCCAGAGCTCTGTCCAATTATTTCAGTGATATCTTAATTAGGTGTCTTCACTTGTTGAGTTATTGGTGGCATTTTTGTTTCAAAGGATAAGACCACTGCCAACCAGAGCCATGTAGACAGGGCCTGTGCAGAAGGTGGCATGGCCAGGACTATTGCATAAAGCCCACGGCAGGGCCCTATAAAGTGTTTCATGAGTGGCACTTCACTGAGACAAACTAGTGCAGCTGTCCCCCATGCCAAAGCAAAGAAATCACCTCACAGAGCCATTGGGGTGACACTGCCACCTCAATGGGCCTGAAATGTAGCACATTTAGCCAAAGAGGATTATTCTTGAGCCTTCACATATAATAGAATTTGCCTACCTTCATTTCACACTTGCTTGGGACCTATCACCCCTTTCTTCTTTCCTGTTTCTCCATTTTGGAATGGGAATGTCTGTCTATACCTGTCCAAGCGTGGTGTTTTGGAAGCACATAACTTGTCTGATTTTCAGACTCATTGCTAGAGAGGAATTTTGCTTCATGATGAATCATACCTAAATTCTCACCCATACCTGATTTAGATTATATTTAGATGAGACTTTGGACTTTGCACTTTAGAGTTGGTGCTGGAATGAGTTAAAACTTTGGGAGCTGTTGCTTTGGAATAAATTTATTTTGCATTAGAAAAGAACATGAATTTGGAGAGTCCAGGGGCAGAATAGTGTCGACAAAATTGTTTCCCCCCAAAATTCATATGTTGAAGCCCCAATCCTCAATATGACTGTATTTGAAAGATAGAGCCTTTACGAGGCAGTTAAGGTTAAATGAAGTCATAAGTGTGGGGCTTTAATCTGATAGGTTAATGGCTTAAAAGAGAGTGATCTCTCTCATTGTCTCTCTCCCTGTGCATTCACAAAGAACAGTTCTGTGAGCACAAAGGAAGAAGACAGCCATGTGCGAGCCAGGAAAAGAGCTTTCCCCTAAAACTGACCACACCAGCACCTTGATCTTAGACTCCCAACTTCCAGAACTGTGAGAAAAGGAATTTCTGTTACTTGAAACACCCAGTTTATGATATTTTGTTATGTCAGCCCAACAGACTAATATACCATCTTAATATTTTTAAATGTACATTTCTGTAGCTTTAAATACATTCACAATATTGTGTAAAAATTACCACCATTTATCTCAAAATATTTTCATCTTCCAAATCTAACAGAATATAACTATTAAAGAATAACTCCACATTGCCCCTCCCCCATCTTTGGTAACCACCATTCCACTTTCTGTCTCTTTATTTATTATTTTATTTTAACTTTTTTTTTTTTTTTAAAGATGACTGGTAAGGGGATCTTAATCCTTGACTTGGTGTTGTCAGCAACATGCTGTCCCAAGTGAGCCACAGGCTGGCCCTACTTTCTGTCTCTTTAAATTGGACTAGTCTAAGTACCTCACGTAAGTGAAATCGTATAGTGTTTGTCCTCTTCTGACTTGTCTTATTTCACTTATAATGTCCTCGAGGTTCTCCCATGTTGTAGCATATATCAGAATTTCTTTTTTAAAGCTGAATAATATTCCATTTTCTGTGTATCTCACTTTTTGTTTATCCATTCATAGATTGATGGACACTTTCACTTTTGGTTATTTAGAAAAATAAATGCTGTGAAAATGGGTATACTCTTTGATATCCTGCTTTTAATTCCTTTGAACATATACCTGGTGCCAGAGGAGAGGGTTTGGGGAGGCCCAATAGCAGGCCTCAATCCACCCCATCCTCTTGCCAGGTTCTTGACTCTGCCGCAGGAAAGAAGTCAAGGACAAAGACACAGTAGAAAGCAAAAACAAGTTTAATGTAATGAATAAAAGATGCAGATTTCACAGGGAGAGTGTGGCCTTGCTCCAGAGACTGAGCAGGGACCACACAAAGTTTAATACAAAAGTAAGAAATGCACACTTAATGTTTAGTATGGAGTGCAGGCTGGCTCAAGAGAGTGAGCAGCCACTTGCTGAAAGTAAGTCTGATACAAAAGAGTATACACACCTCAGCCAGCGAAGTGCAGGTTGGCTGCAGGAAGATAAGCAACAACGGCAGTAGGTTTAATACAAGAGGAAGAAATACACATTTACAGACAGAGCAGGCTGGCCCCAGGGTGAACAACAGCCTGCTAAAGGCAAGTTTGATACAAAAAGAAATACACACTTCAGGTGAAGTGTGGGCTGACTTCAGGTGGGTGAGCAACAGCCCCACCTTCTGCTGGGATCCACTTTAATAGTTTTGCTAATACATATTCATGATCTCTAATGAATATTCAGTTATGCAACATAGTCTTGCACATGCTCAGTTGGCCTCCTTTTAGGGCATATTCATTGGTCAAATCCTATTACATGCACCAGACATTCAAGAATATTCTGTGCTCTTTCTTGGCTCCAGTGGAAAGTCATTCAAAGATAAATTCCACTTTACTGAGCAGGCTGGGCTACCAGGGTTATATAACCCCTGAGCATGCCCAGGCACTGGATTTGCATAAATCCGCCCGGAGTTTTCCGTGTTGGTGCCAAAAATAGGTCCAACAAGCAGAAGTAACTCTCCTCTAGGGGAGGACCTAGAAGAGAGGCCTGAGACCTGGGAGGGTGTCTTGAAACCCACACCCATGGAAACTGCCTCCCTCCTATCTCATACCCAGAAGTGGAATTAAATAAAGAACCACAAGGTAATTCCATTTTCAGGTTTTTGAGGAACTGCCATACTGTTTAACATACCAGCTGCACCATTTTATATTCTAACCAAGTGTGTAATAATCCCAATTTCTGTACATTTTTGCCAACCCGTTATTTTCTGTTCTGTTCTGCTTTTTGATAGTAGACTTCCCAATAGGTGTGAGGCCATTTCTTTACTCCTTTAATCATGTTTCCCTTTGATTCTGTGAACATGTTTATAATGTGTACTTTGAGGTATTTTTCTGTTAATCTGACGTCTGTTTTGCTGGCACGAAGTTCTGTTTTTTTCCTTTCTTTGCCCAGAGTATGGTTCATAGTTTCCTGTTTTCTTCCATGTCTCTTAATTTTTGTTGCAAAGTAAACATTTTAGCCAACACATTCCACCCTTTCTGTGTATTCCCCCACGGCCCCAGGCCTTGTTATTGTTATTTCCTTGCTTTTTTTAGTGACTAGATTGTTTTGGTGAAGTCTATTACTTCCCCACGGTTTTAAGCCTCTGCGATGTCACTCTTCAGGGGCAGGGGGCTGACACATCTTTGTTTATGCCCACAGTGATGCTGGAATGACAGAAGTATTGGTAGAAATGTCTTCCTCTTTTTCTTGGACTATGCCCAGCTGTTAAACTGTAATAATAGCTGGCTGATGACTCTTCTTTTCAACAGTGTCCCAGGGCATAAACTGCTCTATACTGATCCAATCAATGGTTCCTTGGAAGGAATACCCTCACAGGTCCGTGTTTGATATTCATTCCCTAATGGACTTCTCTTAGCAGTTTTCCCCTGGTTTCCTGCTGCTAACTAGTTGGCCTGTAGTCTAGTCTGTATCTTCATTAAACCCACAGATCTCCTCTCAATGACCCTTCACCTCTATTTCCACTGTGTTGAGTGGCGTGCCCATGGGCTCGAACTTCTCATGATCTGTTGCAGTTGCAGTTAATTCCTTTGAAAAGTGATTAGGCTCTGTTTGTTTTAGGACATGCTTCTCCACTCCCAGGCAAAATTTCTGTGCCAGGGCTCTGGAGCTGGGTGGGGACAATGGTAAGCTTCTGAGTGACACTAAGAACTGAGTGCTCAGTGGAGGGAGGCATAGCAGACTGATGTTCTCTCAGCTTGTGTCACCAGGCATAAAACCACCACCTAACAGACGTGCCAAGGGTGATGAGTGGCCCCAGTATTCTCAGCATGCCATGCACATAGAAGAGACTTTGTTCCACGAGTAGGGTGTGGATGCAAGAAGAGGGCCACCACTTTTTAAGTGCACAAACGTGGGACTTTACCTCAGCAAAGGGTAGCTGGGAAAAGATAAAAAAATGTTGAAGTCCTGCTCTTCCTAGAAAAAGGCTCTCAACTAAAAGCTGGGAGAACACAGAGCCTTGTATTCTTGGCTGCACCGTCTGAAGTGGGGGTTCACCTTGCCGAGCTGCGGAGAGGGAGTGGAGGAGCAGTCAGGGTACGGATACCACAGACCCTGCCTTTCTCAAACATTTTTATAGATTTTCTGGAATAGATGCTCCTCATTTGGCTTTTGCCTTTAGAACCATTTCCAGAGGTTGTTTTAAAATAATTTTCACCAGATTCAAAGGGGACTTTGTCAGCAGAGCTCCTCTCATTGTCATGCCACCCTAATGCATCTAATATTCTGCCCACATCAGGAAATGCTCTGCAGTTTGATATAGGATGGAGTACAACCTGGAATATCTTGTCATTTTATACACAAAATTGAGAAAATTCTTTGTAAAAACATGTTGAACATTTTATGAAAATGATTGTTTAGAGGATTGACACACACAGAAATGGCTTCACATAAAAAATACTTATTGATTTGCAAGCTAGTAAAAATAAAATATGGTTAATACAAATATTTTAATCATGAGTTACTTACAGTGAATGTCAAGTTTCAAAACCTCAACCTGAGACTTAGAAGTCTGCCTGAAGACTCACTATTAGCCTGCATTATCTTCTGGCATTGATATCTATTTGCCTCTAGCTCCCGCAATTAGTTTCTTGTTTTTTCTGTTTATGTAAAAATAAAATTTAATAAACTATGTGTTTTTCTTCCTTTTGATATACAAAGATAACACGGTTTAAACAGTGACACACTTTGCATTGTTCATTTAAGAATAAATCCAGTAAGGGCTGGCCCCGTGGCTCACTCGGGAGAGTGCGGCGCTGGTAGCGCCGAGGCCGCGGGTTCAGATTCTATATGGGGATGGCTGGTTCGCTCACTGGCTGAGCACAGTGCAGATGACACCAAGCCGAGGGTTGCGATCCCCTTACCAGTCAAAAATAATTTTAAAAAAGAATACATCCAGTAATATTTTTCATATCAATGGATGACTTCCCTGATTTTTATAAAGCCACGTAGGATGATGAGTTTATGTAAGCAGTTCTAAATAGACACTGAGCTTGTCCTCAATCTTTTGCAACTCATATCTTACTGAAATGAATCAAGGATAATATCAATCGACCTGTTATAAAAAACTTGAAATTACCTATAGAACTAAGACTATGAAACAAAAATTGGCTAGGTGTTTAGAAACATGTAAAAATATTTGAAAATTATAAATTTTCATGCTTTAATAATTTTTTATATTTTTGTATTAAACTATATCATACCTAGAAAAGAATGCAGGAAATTTTTTCTGTATAAATAGTAATTATTGAAAAAAATTTATAGAATGAGCACTTACAGTGATGAATAAGACCTTGGGTGCTCAACACTGACCTAATTTCCCTCCTGTCTCCACAGGTAACCACAATCTGGAATTTCATGGATATTGGTTATAGTTTTATTAACTATGATTTAACATCAAGAGTGTTTTGCTTAATTTTGCTTAACTTTCTATGAAAGGGGATAAATGGACTGGTGTCTTTGTTTTTCCCCCCAGGTTGTTTCACACATCCTGTTGTCTGATGCTTGGGGCTGTTCGACAATTTGCTCGTCCATTCCAGTTGTTATAGGATTTGGATTGTTTCAATTTTACTTTTTGCTCTTGTGGGCAGTGCAGCTCTCATCACACTCATCCAAGTGCCTATGTGTAATAAAGTCTCTACACATTGGAGAAAATGTGCTGGGTTGTAGATTCTTGGCAATTTCAAAATCACCAGGAAATTGCAATGGAGGATGTAGGAACTGACTCTCACAGCATTTGTGCATGTGTTTGTTTATCCCACATCAATGGCCACACTGAAATTATGTAATTTACTAACTTTTGCCTAATTAGTGTGTGTGACATGGGATCATCCTGTAATTTGATCACTTTTCACGAAATAGGTTTTAGTCATTTTCTTACTTTTAGTTCATCTATTTATTTGGTTTCTTATGATTTCTTTATACACTCTGGACATTTATGTGCAGGTTTTGCGTGGAAGTAACTTTTTAATTTATTAAGTTGAAGCCTGATTCCTGGATAATATTGTAAAAGTATGTTTAGTTTTATAATAAACTGAGAAGTGTCTTCCAAAATGGCTGTAGCAATCTGCATTCCCACCAGTGAGTGCTCCTTGGTTCCACATCCATGCAGCATTTGCTGCTGTCAGTGTTTTGGATTTACCATTCTAATGGTGTGGTGATAATCTTATTCACCAAGTTATAGGAATAATGAATGTCTAAAAAGAGCCAATGTTTACTGAAGAACAAGATGAGGGCTTGCCTAACACATCCCCCACAATTTAAACAATAGGTACCCAGACAGTATAGTATGAGCAGAGAAATTTAAAAAAAGATACCAATGGGAAAGAAAAATGTCAAACTGACCTTGTGTATATAAAAATTTGATTAGGCAGGCTCGGGAGTAGTGGCAGAACTGACATACATTTTAACATATGGTAAGGGACAAACTGTAATTTTAATGCAGAAAATGCATTGTATTCCCATTTGTGCCACAGACAATAATCAATTTACTGTTGATTAAAATGTGAAAGACAAAGGAAGAAGACTTTCAGAAGTTAAAGGCAACTATTTTTAATTTATAAGAAAATGCAATACAACTTCATTTGCCCTTACCCCCCAGCACCTGGCCTATAGTATCTTAACAGCCCTGCCTTCCCACTTAATCATTACAAGCAAGATATTAACAGTATCCAGCTTTCTTTAGGAAGCCAGGTAAAGGGCCGGCCCGTGGCTCACTCGGTAGAGTGCGGTGCTGATAACACCAAGGCCACGGGTTCGGATCCTATATAGGGATGGCCGGTTTGCTCACTGGCTGAGCGTGGTGCTGACAACACCAAGCCAAGGGTTGAGATCCCCTTACCGGTCATCTTTTAAAAAAAAAAAAAAGGAAGCCAGGTAAAGAATTATATCGATGACATTCTCCTGCAAAGACAGTCAGAGGATACACGCATACGGGATATAAGTACCTGTCACAGAACTATTTGGGGTTGAAACATTGTGCCCCATAAGATTCAAGGCCCCAACACTTCAGTAAAATTTCTGGATATTATTTTAATGGTCAGCCTAGGAACCATCCATGGCATTGACTATGTTAAAGTAAGCGGAACATTTAATGGGTCCATTTGGGTTTCAGGAGCAAGACATAACTCATTTTCAGATTTCCAAATTTTATGTAAACCTGTTTCTCATTACTCACAAATTGACCCACTTTGAATGGGCAACAAATGGATCTAGAACCTGCCCAGATAATAGGCATTCCATTAATGTCACCCTCCCCAGATTCCTTTGCCACAGAGTTTTCAGTAGTCTTCTTGTGCCTTCATGAGTCTCTAAATCACCCAAGATGGCCATAAAATGCTCAGGGGCTACTGCTGCAAGAAAATACCTTCTTTGCCCTGGTGAGAGAGTAGCTAATGCTGGCCCAAGACAGGGTACTTCTGGAGATGGAGGCTGTCATGTTCTCTGAGCTGATGATGCTCTGCAGACTGGGCCATGGAGGCAGCAACCCTAAAATGAGCTTCTCCAGAGAGACCTCCTCATTGAAAGATCATTGTACTTACAGGATAGAGCCAAAACTGGGCTGTCCGGTATATCCCACTTAAAAAAGTGTCTCACTTGTCCTCAGGTTGATGAAGTGGCTTTAGAGAAGGTGGTGACTCCTTTTTAGACCCACATTGGCCACTTGAGAAGGTGGTGACTCCATTCTAGACCTGCTGGCCACTTGGGGAGTCTCTTGGGATCACCTGAATGACCAGGAAAGGAAGTTCATACACTTACCAGCATACATGATGGAGCCCATTGGAGAGGTCCTGAGTTCTGTCCCTAAAAGGGCCACCTCTGATCAAAAATGGAACCCAAAATGTCAGCATGATTAGTCAAACTCCAAGCAATCATTATAGCACTACAGGATGCCCTGGCCAACAGCCAAGCTCATCTGCACATTTTACAGATTCTTTGGCCACTGCAATAGTCAGCTGTCTGATCCCACCAATAACAACTCCTTAATCAAGGACACCTACTTTGGGATAAAGAACTGGGGGGATATCTTAACTCACAATTTCCCAAATACAAACCGAAGTCATATATGTCTCTGCACATACTATACCTCAAACTGCAGATGCTCATTTCAACATTCTGGCCAGTAAACTGGCTTAAGTTTCTGAGACACATACCAACATCAGACACCTGATGCTATTAACCTCAGCGCAGTGGGCCCACGAAATATAAAATCAATTAGAGGCCTCTGCCCTAAAGGCCTAGGCAGAATGCAAGGAATTTCCTTCCTCCTCTGTCGTGGCTAACTCAGTGACTTGGTCAATGCATCTTATATGGAAAAACACACCACTGGTAATATAATTAATGGAAATAATTCCCAGGCTTAGGAAAAAATCCCTACAGGTGATGGCAAGTAGATTTTATGGGCAGTTGACAATCTCTGTAGGGGCTATTCACGATGCTCTGACCAGAGTAGACACATACAGACATTCAGTAAGGTCATTTTGTCTAATCCTGGGTGGGGACCATCAAACCTTGTGATTGCAGTATTAGCCCTTTGGCATGCTGATAAGCAGGAGTACTAAGGGAATCCTAGGTATAATGCTCAGAAGTTTTGCATTGGGAGAACAGTTGTTACCTCTTCCCATGCTTTGAGAGAGGCTAATACCAAATGCTCTTTCCTCTTTTCAGTACACGGACCACAAGGCACCATGGATGTGTACCTCAATACCCTGGGGTGTCAGGAAAGTGCATTTGACAGAGCAAGGGATGCAGCAGCACAGGAAACAGGGAAGGGCACTGCCTGTGTCTAAACAGCAATTCACATTTGGCAACTGGAGTGCTATGCTTAATTCTCCCCAGAGTCTCCTTCCTTTCTTTAAACATCACAAAAGGCCATCCATGACCATGTCCCAGGGGTATAAAATCACACTGTCCATATAGCATCCAGTGGTAACGACCATGCTACATGCAGTAACCAAAGAGCTCTAGTCGGACACTTGGTAATCAAGACTGAAATGCTGATAATGTAAGGGGCTGTGTTATCACTGCCTTTAAGACAGGTGCCTCAGAGATAACCTGCACACTGGAGGCTGAACCCAATGATACATCATGCTGGAGCAGTCAATTAAGAATAATTCTTGACTAGAAGATGAGAGTTTTAAGGTGGAAAGAGACAGTTACACCTGATAAAGACCACAGTCCTGTACAGACCAAAGCACAAGCCCACCAGCAATTGGTGGTTCCACCCCAGGAATTGGTGGTTCCTGTATCATGGAACAAGTTAGTTAGCCAAAACGAGTTAGATAAAGCTGAGTAGATTCCTCAGTTATGGCTGGTCCATCCTGTTTGTGAATCTTTTCAATAGCCTCCCATTTACCCCATTGGTGAGTGAGGGATTAGTAACCTAGGCATCTTGTGAAACTCAAACACATGACACCCATCACTGGAAAATGGGATTGATGCAGTTTATTAGTGACACATACAGCCTGGACGAGGAGGGGACCATAAGTCATGCAGGCCAATACAGGGGTTGCACTAGGGAGAAGAGAAAATAAACACCGGTGTGCAGGGAAGGCTTTATGGTATCAAGACAGTGTGGTCCCCCTTGGCCCATGGGAGGATGTGATTGACTTGTATGAATACTTATGTGGGCCAGCAGTAAACAAACCCATTACAGTACAGACTGATAAGACCATAATACTATAATACTATATATACTATATTCTATACCATAATACTAGTTATACATGATATATACTAGTTGTTAATATATACTAATTAATACTGTAGTATATACTACATATTTTTACATACACATAGACATACTACATACTGTACTACATAATGCTATACTGTATACTGTATACTATACTATATTACAGAACACAGATATCCTCTGAATATAGATGCAAATCCCGCCACAGCATACTAGCAAACGGAATCCCACAATATACAAAAAGACCTATACAGCACAATTAAGTGTGATTTAACCCAGGAAAGCAATATTGGTTTTATATCTGAAAGTCAATATGCCATATTAAGAGAATAAATGTGAAAAACCATAGGATCATCTCAATAGATGCCAAGAAAGCATTTATCAAAGGTCAACACCCGTTCATGAAGAAAACACTCAATAAACTAGGAATAGAAGACAACTTCCTCACCTGCTCTAAGGCATCTATGAAAAACCCACAGCTAACATCATATTTGATAGTGAAAAACTGGATGCTTTATCTCTAAAAACAGACACAGGATAAACATGTTTGTTCTCAACACTCATTCAACATGGTAAGTGGAGATGCTACCAGGTAAACTAGGCACAAAAATGAAATAAAACCATCCCAAATTTTAAAGAACATACACAGATAGACCCCCAAACAGATAAATAAAATTACAAACTTTGTCACTGCATATACAGATGGACAGACACAGACACAGACACACAAACCCTCAGAGATAACGGCCCAAAGACACACAGCCCAGGCCTCTGCACTCCTCCCCAGCTTTCCCTTCCTCCTTAGGACTAACCACCATCTGACACGCAGTGTACTTTGCTTGTATCTCTTATTTGTTGTCTCCTAGAATGTCCAAGTTAAAGGGGACAGGGCTATTTGCGTGGTTTTGTTTACTGCAATGCTACTACAACAGGACTCACAATAGACACACACACTAGGGTTTTCCACAAAATTCATCATAGGCCCACATGCATGTGATCTTCATAGAGTAATGTGTTTTCATCCCCATCCCATATGGCAGAGGGGTGCCTCGAGTACCCCCAAACAATCCTCAAAGTAGAGTATTTCAGCCCATCCTGATGGAAAAAAAATTCACACTTCCTGAGCATGCACAGTACAAAGAGACCATCCCTGTAAGAAAAACAAAATGGCAGCATGAAGAGGCAAGACTCAGGGCCCAAGATCAACGGAGTTATATCCCAGCCCCTCACACTGCTATAACAGAGACACACCCTTCATGAATTCACCCTATGCCAATCTGCTGTCCCATTGCAAGCATTGTGAGGGCAGCCAAAGTTTGTCACCTTGCTCGGCCTCCATGTCCTCCACTACAACCTCTTGGATAGAATTCCCCTCCACTAAGGTCTCTCCTGGGGTGGGTAGAAGGATGGTGGGTGGAGCCCCCATCAGCACTGAAGCTTTCTATCATGGCCCAGCCCATGTCTTCTGTTGGAGGAGAGTGGTGGACTCAGAAGCTCAGACCACAGGCCTCTCAGCAGTAGAGAGCTGTTGGATGCAGGAAAGGACCTGAAGCTGTTATGTGGGTGGGGACTTGGTTTCCCTCATTTCTGCCTGTTCCCTTAAAAAACACATTTTGATTTCCAAAAAACAGTGGGTGCAGCCTCCGACAGAGGAGGAGCCATCGTCCCCTGCACCCGCACCCTACAGCATGGTCTAGAGCAGTTTACTTGGAGTTGGGTGCACGTTGCTTACTGGGAGCCACATGATACAAGGGTTTACCAATGCTCCTGAGCCTAGCTGAGATTGCCACTTCCCAAAGGGATGTGCTGCTGCAGGCTGGGTCTTGTTTATGAAAGAAGTACTTGTATGTCCTGCCCTTGGTGAGAAGGCTCCAAACCCACTCTGGAGTAGAGCAAATGAGGTAGGTGCTGAAGTGAGGGGCCTGGAGCATGGTCCATGCATGCAGTGCAGAAAATCTGAGCCAAAGGTGCCAGAGAATTAGGGGTGGGTAATTTGGGGACACTGAAATGCCTAAGCACTTCCTATAGCTAGGGCATAGCAAGGTATCTCTTTTTCACATTGTCAGTTGAGACTATTAGGTGACTGTGCTTGTCCCTACAAAGCTGATTATAGCAACAGCTGTGACTGTTGTGGCCAAGGGGCTAGTGGCCCATGACATGGGTTTTGTCACTACTTCTTCCTACCTCTTCTCAGAGCCACCTGGGATTACCACAGAGAAAATCTCCAGAGTGGGCCAAGTATAGAATTCTAGAAATGTTTGTCAGCAAGCAAGAATAGGTTAGACTTGAGATGAGATGCTTACAGCTGGAAACGGCCTCAAGATGAGCCCTGGGAAGAGATAATGCTGATACCCAAGGATTAGGCAGTTGCCGGAAAGATCCCACTTGGGGAAATCTGTGACATATGCCTTTATCGTTCAGCAATCCCCAAAATTTGACCTGAAAAACTTGGTGTAAACCCTTAAAAAGAGATTCTAGGAGCCCTCCCACTTCTCTCCACTTGTGCAAGGTGAGGGCAGATACAGCTCTACAGGATGTTTCCTAGCTTTAGACTAGGTCCCAAGAAAAGCCTGTTGGGGCAGAAGTCCTTACCCAGTCCTTCGATTCTTCCTAACAAAGATCCCAAGGTGGTGAGAAGAACATGTAGAAATCAAGGTTCAGGAGAGTTCAGCATTCTCCTAGCACATTAAAATAGTTTTGTTGTTTATCTTCTATAAGCCATTTTTAATAAATACATGTAGTGTATTAAAAGTGTAGTTCTGAGTGCTCATAGATGTATAGTTATACCACCAGCACCAAGGTGTCAACAAGGCATCATCAACTCAAAAGAGAACACCCTTGTAGTGCCTGTTTCTACTGAACTTATCCATCTGAAACCACCGATCTAGTTTATGTCCCTATACCTTTGCCTTTACTAAAATGTCATAGATGGAACACCATGTTGCCTTATGTGTCCTGTTTGTAAAATTCAATACCACATTTGTAAAAATGCATAATTATACAAACCTTACAGTGTTCTGACTTCACATTTTTCACAGTGCCTAGGAAATATGACGGTACACAGAAGGTCTTCTGAACTAAAGGTTCCAGGGGTGTGTGTGTTTGAGTATGACCCCATGCTCCCTGTGCTTAACATTCATTTGTAAGATGGGAGGAATAATTGGGGGGCTAGGGGAGGAATAGGAAGGAGAACCAAAAGAGATACTAATAATTATGAAATTACATCCTCCTTACAGTGCTAAGAAAACATAAGCTAGCCAGGAAAATAATGGACAAATAATGGATGTCCTTTGCTATTTAATAAAACACAAAGATATTACTTCTTCCCATCCACCCCTCCTTCCAAAACATGTCCCGAAACTCTAAGAATAAGGAAATAATATGTGTTGAAGCAAAATACGCAGGCCATTAGCCCAGGGTTGTTTCTGTACTAGGAACCTTTACACAAGCAAACCAAAAGTTAATAAAGAGGCAATGCCTTGTAACTGATAACTGGGGGGAGATGGGAGACTAAACCTAACTTCACCCAATCACAAACAGCAAACTAGACATTAGATATGTAACTACGGACTTCCCAATGGGTCATACCAAAATAAGGCAAATAAATGCCTAACTGTAGCCAGTCAACTAGTTACTTTGCCTCTAAGTTCAGCCTATAAAAGCCCACTGCTCATTCTGCTACGGCAGAGAGCTCTGAACCTTTTCAGGTTCTGCATACTGTCCAATTCATAAATCCTTTAATAATCAAATTCTGTTAAATTTATTTTGTCTAAAGTTTTTAATATCTATGAACAGCAAAACAGTCTTTGGGACTATATGGATCATTGAAACAAAATGCTTCCAGTTGCTCCTCTTATAAAAAGGAATTAAACATTTCCCAGTTTGAGGATGTCAAATACACCCCCCTTCTTCAGTAAACTAGAATACTATGAAAAATGATACCCTGTCTGCATCTCACCTTAATTATTCCTCAGATAATTGCCCTCTAAACATCTATAACTGTTTTTGGTGTTTCAACCAGGAACTCCCAATGCACTTGTACAGCTATCACTTTACTCATAAGAAAAACCCAAGATGGGCTGGCAGTGTGTAGATCACCATAATTCTTCCTAAACCTGGAAAAAACTCCCTGGTTTAATGGGGTACACAGTGTGTGTACATAGTCTGTATAGCAGCAAAATAATAATGCCAAACAATTATTATTAAAAAAATTGCCAAAGGCAATTTAAAATCTTTCTGGTAATTTTAAACACAAAATTAACAATTACAGGGAGTGACATCAGCAAGATGGTGCGGTAGGATACTCCAACACTCATTCCCTGGCAGAAACACTAATTTGAACAGCCATCCACATACAAAAATGCCTTCACAAGAGATTTAGAAAAAAAGGTGAGAAATTACAGCACTTCAGTGTAGCACCAAAATGAGAAAATGTGCAGTGAAGAGGGCAGAAAAGACAGTTTCACATTACCTGCATCACCCCTCCCCCATGAAGACCCTCTACGAGGGGGAAGGAGAGTGGAGAACCAAGCTTCTAGGTCCACCCAAAGGCTAGGCCAGCCACTGCAGCCAGACTCCAGACTGGCCTCACAGTCCCAAGCTCTAGGCCAATCCCTGTGCCCCTAGACTCCACCAGACTTAGTGTCTAGGCCCACCTCAGTAGATTCCAGCACCAAGCCAACCCCTATGAATCTAAACTCCAGGTCAGCTCTTGTAGATCCAGAGCCACCACTGTGATTCAGACTCCAGGCATGCTCCAAAACCAAGCCACTCCCTGTAGACTCAGGCTCCAGGCTTGTTCCCAGAGGCCTAAGCAACAGTCCCATCCAGTGCCTGGCTAGCCTCCATGTAACCAGGACTCAAGCTGGCCCCATGGAAGGCTGCTCCTGTGAATCCAGGCAACAGGGTGGCCCCTATGAAACCAGTCAACAAATCCACCACAGGAGATTAATCATGCAAAGCTACATGAACTGACAATCCAGACACACCCCAGCAGACCCAAGATCTAGGCCTGCCCCAGTAGACCCAGTCCTTAGGCCCAATCCCACAGATCCAGGTGCCAAGGTATTCCACCTGCTGACCCAGGCACCATGCCAGCCTGCTCAAGGACTCATCAGCAAGCTTGACTCTGGACCACACAAAATGACCTGTCCAGAATCTTCAGATGAGTGGACTAAAGAAAGGCTTTCCCTGCTAAAGCTAGTCTGGAAAGACTAAAGCCTGTACTTCTTCAAATGTGCAAACACCAACACATGGCCACCAAGATCATGAACAATCAGGGAAACATGACACCACCAAAGAACAAAGCACCAGTAACTGACCCTAAAGAAATGGGGAGTTATGAAATGCCTGACAAGGAATTCAAAATGCTCAATGAGCTACAAGAGAATACAAACAACTAAATCAAATGTCCTATCATAGGTCTCTTTTCTTAATCAAAGTCTATTACTCAATCCCACCCAAAAGGAATGACAAGCAAGGAAGGGCAATTTATAAAACATGAATCTACACTCTTTGACAAATTTTGCATAATTACAACTTTATGCCAAACAGTTAGCAAATCGGAAAACAGAATAAGTTCTTTTGTACCAAAAAAAAGTTTTTCTCTTAAGAAAGGTGAAATATATATAATGCATAAGGGATATCCAGTACCTTCCATATGAGCCCATTAGAAATATTTAATTACCAACATGTCACTTTTCAATGGCCACTTACAGAACAATTTAAAAACTATATAAAAGCTAAACTATTTAGACATAAGAAATACACTTCAGTTTACCCATGGATATAACAAACCTTAAAATGTTTTTCTTAAACAGTACATACACAATGATCTCACCTCAATGTTTCTTTGTGAAAGTATATAGTAGGAATCCAGTCCAGAGGTAGAACTTTAAGAATGAGCCACTGATAAAGACGTTTGTAACTTTTATAACACTAGTTTCATGTGTAAATGTTCTGGAGCACTATACATGAATTTGCACCAGGCTTTCCATATTACCTACATTTATAGAACTCTCCAGAGGGAATTATTACATGACTTTGAAATTATTTGTTAAAATAAAAAACCTGTATTTTTTGCACTTATGGTTTCTATTCAGTATACATAAATAACCCGAAGGCTTTCCCACATTACTTACATTCATAAAATTTCTCTCCATTGTGAGTTCTTTCATGTCTTCTAAAGTAACTGGGATAAATGAAGGCTTTCCCACATAGTTTACATTTATAGGGTTTTTCTCTAATATGAGTTTTTTCATGATTTCTAAAGGAACTGGAATAACTGAAAGCTTTACCACATTGTTTACATTCATAGGGTTTCTCTCCAGTGTGAGTTCTTTTATGGGTCTGCAAATCTAGAGGATAATGGAAGGTTTTCCCACATTTCTCACATTCATGGGGTTTCTCTCCAGTGTGAGTCCTTTTATGCCTTCGAAAGGAACTGGGACAACTGAAGGCTTTCCCACATTCTTTACATTTGTAGGGTTTCTCTCCAGTATGAATTCTCAGGTGTATTCGAAATGCTGAGTGAACACTGAAGGCTTTCCCACATTGTTTACATTCATAGGGTTTCTCTCCAGTATGAGTTCTTTCATGAACTTGAAATGAAGCAGAACATGTGAAGGCTTTGCCACATTCCTTACATTTGTAAGGCGTATCTCCACTGTGTGTCATCATGTGTCTTTGAAAGCACTGGGAAGTAATGAAAGCTTTCTCACATTCCTTACATGTGTAAGGTTTCTCTCCAGTGTGAGTTCTTTCATGTATTCTAAGGGAACTGGGCCAACTGAAGGTTTTATCACATTTTTTACATTCATAGGCCTTTTCTCCAGAGTGAGTCCTGTCATGAATTTGAAGAGAAAAGAGAGATCTGTAAACCTTACCACATTGCTTACACTCATAGGATCTCACTTCAGAGTGAGACTTTTCATGTGTTTGAAATGATTTGTAATATATGAAGGTTTTCCCACATTGTTTACATTCATAGCATTTCTCACCAAGGTGAGACTTTTCATGTCTTTGAAAGGACTGAAGAAAACTAAAGGCTTTTCCACATTTATTACATTCATAGTGTTTTTCTTGAGTGTGGGTCTTCTCATGCCTTTGAGAGGAAGTGGGATGACTAAACGCTTTACCACATTCTTTACATTTATAAGGTTTCTCTCCACTATGCATTCTCAGGTGTGCTTGAAATGTTGAATGAAAACTGAAGGCTTCCCCACATTCCTTACATGCATAGGGTTTCTCTCCAGTGTGAATTCTTTCATGTATTTGAAGGGAACTGGGCCGACTGAAAGCTTTACTACATTTTCCACATTCATTGGGTTTCTCTCCAGTGTGAATCCTTTCATGAACTTGAAAGGAAAACAGACAACTGAGAACTTTACCACATTGCTTACTTTCATAGGGTCTCAATCCAGTATGAGTCTTTTCATGCATTTCAAGTGATTTGTGATATATGAAGGTTTTCCCACATTGTTTACATTCATAGTGTTTCTTGCTTGGGTGAGTCCTTTCATGTCTTTGAAAGGATTGGAAATAACTAAAGGCTTTCCCATGTTCCTTACATTTATATGGCTTCTCTGCATATTTCTGATACTCATATGGTTTGTATCTAGTGTGAGATCTGATGTGCCTAATAAAAGCTGAATGATGCATGAAGACTACTCCACACACAGTACATTCACATGGTTTTACTCCAGTTTTCTTGTTCAGATTATTACTTAGAATCTGTCTGAAGATTTCTCCACATTCGCTACTTTCTTTACTTCCGCAGTCTTTCTCCATATCAGTGCTGTAAAAAATGACAAGTATATTATTAATAGTTTATTAGTGATTTCGTATTTACTAATATGTAGTAGAATTATATTTTCCCATTTTCAGGGAATATGTAGGTTCTCTGCCCTGCCTGAATATTTGAAAGTGAATAGACTGAATGCTCTACAACAGGGCTTGACTGTAGCTATTATCAAAACAATTATAGTCATACATGCAGTTTTTTAAATTCTCTTTCCAAGTGAACTATTTTGTAAATGCTGAACATCTATGCCACATTTAAGTAAATATTTTCAGTAGGGGGATTGGGCTTCTCTGGCTCACTAACTGCTGCTCTGGAGGATTCACACGTGATTAATAAGGTCCCTGTGATGAAATCATGAGCAGGTGGGCACAAGTTACTACCACAAATAACAAGAGACTCTCGCCTGTAACATCATGGGAGGACATAAAGAAGAGGTGCTGTGAGGGAACAAGCCAAAACCTATCAAAGCATAAACAGTTTGAAGCCAACAGACTGTCCCTTAAAAATGATGCAACTAAGCAAGACATAATAAAAAAGAAAAAAGAGACCTTCAATGAAGATGTGAATGGATTCATGGAATGCCTAAGACAGAACTTATAGATGGTTCACAATGGGAAGATTATAGCAACAGTCAGGAAGAAAGGGAAGAAATTGCAGTTGTCTTAATGAAAGACAGCAGACAAGCAGGAAGATGACTAAAAGGACAAGCAACAAAGAAAATGTCATGGTATGTTTCCACTGTAGAAAACCTGGCCATGGGCCGGCCCCGTGGCTCACTCGGGAGAGTGCGGTGCTGACAACACCAAGGCCACGGGTTCGGATCCTATATAGGGATGGCCGGTTTGCTCACTGGGTGAGCGTGGTGCTGACAACACCAAGTCAAGGGTTAAGATCCCCTTACCGGTCATCTTTTTCAAAAAAAAAAAAAAAGAAAGAAAACCTGGCCATGGAATTGCAGATTGTCCAGCTGATAGTATGGATATATTGTGTCCCCAAAGCTCATGACCCCCCAACTTGGCTGTATTGGGAACTGTTTGGGTCACTGGGGCAGATCCTTCATGAATAGATTAATACCCTCCCCAGTGAGTGGAGGGCAGTGAGTGAGTTCTTGCTCTATTAGTATTAGTTCCCATAAGAGCTGGTGGTTACAAGGAGCCTGGTGCCTCCTCACCCTCTCTTTCTTGCTTCCTCTTACCATACGATATTGTATCTGCTGGAATGCCCCGCCACTTTCTGCTATGCGTAGAAGCAGCCTGAGGCCTGTACATGATGCATCTGTCCCAGAATCGTGAGCCAAACAAACCTCTTTTCTTTATAGGTTACCCAGTTTTGGGTATTCTGTTATAGCAACACAAAAAAGGACTTATACACCAGCTGCCCTTGAAAATCAAGATATGGACATAGGAATATGTGATCGGTGTGGGTCCATAGAGCATAAAACAATTAAGTGCAAGCTAAAGTACACCCAGCTTTTGGTTAATTTCCTTTTGCAATATGTTTTGTTTGTGGGGAAATGGGGCACCTATCCAGATCTTGTCCTGATAATCCCAAAGGACTCTATGCATTTGCAAGCTTTGTGGTTCTGTGTAACATTTTAAGAACAATTGCCCTGAAAGACAGAATTCAGATTGATCACAGCTGGTTGCTGGGTAAAGAGAATGTGTGCAGACTATGAAGGAATTTTGGATGAACCTAAAGCACAGAAACCCAAAACAAAGATACCTAAAGTTCTTAATTTTTGACGATGATTAGTATTTTCATTAGTTATTACCTCATTGTTACTTTCTAAATTGGGCCTACTTCACAAGTTAGAGCTGGGCCTACATTGTAGATATCAGTAATGATATGGGTGTGGTCAAATATAGTTTCCTATGTTCTGTCCATCCAAGAGTACATCTACCATTGTTTAGAGAAATTCACTGAAGAAAAATATAAGATGATTAAATTGGATTCTCTAAAAGAACATATTTTTAACAGACAGAACCTAGACGTAAGTGATTATATACCTGACTGTAACAATCATCTTATTTTTTTGTCTTTTTCGTGATCAGTAAGGGGATCGCAACCCTTGTCTTGGTATCGCCCACACTATGCTCAGCCAGTGAGTGGGAACCGGTCTCCACATGGGATCCGAACCCTCGGTGGGAGCGCCGCCGCGCTCCCAAGCAGCGCACTCTCCAGTGCGCCACCGGGCCAGCCCCAATCATCTTTTTTAAAGCAAAATCATTTATATTAATGTGAACTACCTGTAAACAAAGGGTAGTGCTTTGTATTTAGAAATGAATTATATTGTTTCCTTGGTTCAAAGCATCGATTTATTCTTATAATAAAAATTTATTTAGAAATTACCACAAAATCTGCGTTTTTAAAATATTGAATAAAAATGAAATACATTTTTCTGAAAGAAAATATTTTCAGTGAAAATTTTATAAGAATAATTCAGTTCAAGGCTGAGTTTGTTTTATTTGCCTCCTTTAAAAATTTCATGTCAGGGCTGGCCCGGTGGCGCACTGCTACAGTGCGCCGCTTGGGAGTGTGGCGGCGCTCCCGCCGAGGGTTCGGATCCCACATACAGACCGGTTCCCGCTCACTGGCTGAGCGAGGTGCGGGTGCAGCACTGAGGGTTGCGATCCCGTTGCCGGTTCCAGTCTGGTACGGGCGCAACACTGAGGGTTGCGATCCGTTGCCGGACACGAAAAAAGACAAAAAAAAAAAAAAAATTTCATGTCATACTTGGATTCCCTCTTGGGATACTGCTTTCTCTTGTGAGTACAACTCACCTTAGATTTCCCCCCTGGATTTTGTACCAATCTTTAATGTTCTGATCTTCCCATTTTCTCCCTGAAATATAGACCAAGAATAACCATTATGAAATTACAGGAAAATTATTAGACTTTAAGTTGTTAAATTAAAATAGAGACCAGGCCTAGAAAATCCCCAAAAAGACAGAGCCAGCTATGCCTCATAAGTGAGGCAAGCTTGATCTGCAAGCATAAGCCACGCTTAACTTAAGCTATTTCTTTTTTTTTTTTTCCTTTTTGTCTTTTTTACTGACTGGTAACGGGATCGCAACCCTTGGTGTCGCGCCCCGTACCGGGGACCGGCAACGGGATCGCAACCCTCGGCGTTGCGCACGCACCGCGCTCAGCCAGTGAGCGGGAACCGGTCTCCACATGGGATCCGAACCCTCAGTGGGAGCGCCGCCGCGCTCACAAGTGGCGCACTCTCCAGTGCGCCACCGGGCCGGCCCCTAAGCCATTTCTTATAAATGCCTACATTAAGGGGCTGGCTAGTTAGCTCAGTTGGTTACAGCACAGCCTTACAACACCAAGGTCAAGGGTTCAGATCCCCATACCAGCCAGCCGCCAAAACAAATAAATGCCTACATTAAAGAAAAATAAAACTTAAGGCTACCCCACCAGAAGACGTGAACTGATACTTATATTACTAAGGAGTTTCCAGTAGGTTATAGCAAATAAAGTAACTATATAACCATAACCAGTCAAATGTTTTCTTTGCTTTGCTTCTGTGTTCACCCTGTAAAAGTCTTCCTCTTGTGTTTCCGCAGCAGAGCCCCAAACCATCTTCAGTTTGGTGCTTCCTGATTTATGAGTTGCTGCTTGATCAAATAAATTCTTTAAAAGTTTATTGTGTCTCATTTTACCTTTTAACAATGTCTACAATAAGTGTGACCAGGCCTGGTTTATTAATTAACATATAGCCCTTCCACATTTCAACTCTTGAAACAACACTCTCATTCTTGGATGAGAGAGAAACAATTGTTCTCTGACTGACCGAGTGAAGGAATGTTGCCATCCTCACCTATAGATGCCAGGTTCCTGAAGATTTCCAGCATCACATCTCTGTAGAGTTTTTTCTGTGAAGGGTCCAGCATAGCCCACTCCTCCAGGGTGAAGCTCAAAGCCACATCCTCAAAGGTCAGTGAGTCCTAAAATATCCCAAATATGTATGCAGAACGATGAGTAATCCTGACAGGATCAGGGATCTACCCTCATTTCATAAGAAGGTTACACACGATTCTATGGCCTTCAAATATTTATTCTGGGGCTGACCGGTTAGCTCAGTTGGTTAGAGCATGGTGTTATAACACCAAGGTCAAGGGTTCAGATCTCCATACCAGCCAGCCATCAAAAAAAAAAAAAAAATTATTCTATGACTTGGTCATGAGAACTCTTATTTTCTGTCCATAGAAACTTCCTTGTAAGTTTAATAGCATCTTGAACACATGAACTTACCTCTACGTTTTTACTATGGTCACTAAAAGTCTTATTGGTCTCTAATGGGTAGTTCAACTTGAAGAAATGAGAGAAATGCTATGTAAATGAAAAAAATTTTAAGACCAATTCTTTGCAAGAAAATCTTCCATTTCATTTCTTATTATCCAAATCATTCAGTACTCCATGAGCCACAGGGTCAGACCAGAATAAGGTTGTAATAACTAAAAACACATTGAAAAACTACATCTTTTCTTGTATTCCCATCATTACACATGGGAGTCCAGAAGGCCTGTGGAAATCCAACTTATAACACAATCCAGCTGGCCATGTTGTCCCAAAGTACTGCAGGCCATTAAAGGCAGTCAGACACAGCTGTGCTGGAAACCTGAACATCCACAGCAAAAAAAGAGAATCAAACAACAAGAAAACTAACCTAGACACAGACCTTAAACCCTTCACCAAAATTCACTCAAAATGAATCATAGATCTAAATGTAAAATGCAAACCTATCAAACTTGTAGAAGATTATACAGGAGAAAATCTAGATGACCTTTCATGATAAACCTTTAGATACAACACCAAAAGCAAGATCCATGAAAGAAAAAAGTGGTAAGTTTGACTTTATTTAAATTAAAAACTCCTGCTTTACAAAAGACAGTGTTAAAATAATGAAGAGACAAACCACAGACTGGGAGAAATTCTTTACAAAACGCTTATCCAATAATGGACTGGTATCTAAAATAGCCAAAGAATTCTTAAAGCTCAAAAATAAGAAAAATGACCCAATTAAAATGGGCAAAAGATCTGAACACAAACTTCATCAAAAAAGATATACAGATGGCAAATATATGAAAAGACGTTCAACATCATATGGCATTGGAGAATTACAAATAAAACAGTGAAATATCACTACACAGTTGTTAGAATTCAAATATGGAAAACACCAGATGACAGTGAAGATGTGGAGCAAGAGGAATCCTCATTCACTGCTGTTAAAAATTAAAAATAGTATGCCGACTTTGGAAGATAGGCAATGTCTTACAAAACTAAACACACTCCTGCCATATAATCTAGTAATCTTGCTCCTTGGTATTTACCCAAATGAGATGAAAACTTATATTTACACAAACACCTGCCCATGAATGTTTACGGGCAGTATTCATAATTGCCAAAACTTAAGAGTTAATCAAGATATCCTTCAATAGGCAAATGAAAAAACAATTTGTGGAATAGCCATACAATAAAATACTGTTCAATGATAAAAAGAAACCAGGTATACAGCCATGAAAAGACATGAAGGAACCTTGTAAGTATATGGCTAACAGAAGGAAGAAAACTTAAAAAGACTACATGTATGCACATGTATGTACTTTCATTCCAAGTATATGACATTCTGGAAAAGACAAAACAATGAGATGGTAAAAAGATCTTTGCTTGTCAAGATTTTAGGGTTGGGGGAAGGGATGAATGAATAGGTAGAGTACAGAGGATTTTAGGGCAGTGAAACTACTCTACGTGTCATTATACATTTGCCAAAACCCACAGATTGTATAACAGAGTCAACCCTAATCTAGAATGTGGACTTTAATACATCAATGTTAGCATATCCATTGTAACAAATGTACCACAGTAATGGCAGATTAAAAAGAGGGCAAATTGTGGGGGGGCACAGGGGTCACGGTGGGAACTCTTTGTACTTCCTGATCAACTTTTCTGTTTAAAAAAAAAAAAGTAGGGCCTGGTCTGTTAGCTCAATTGGTAAGAGCACAGTGTTGTAACACCAAGGATGAGGGTTCAAATCCCTACACCAACCAGACGCAAAAAAAAAAGTAAGGTCTATTTGAAAAAAAAGATGACAGACTCATTACAATGCACCCCACATGACTCACTGGAACATGCATTCATCCATCCAGTTAATATTAATTTATTTTACTAAGCCATTATGATGCTCCATGAATCAAAGACCAGTAAAGCAGCTGAAAGTTTCATACCATACTGTTCCAGAGCCAGCACTGATATTGTGACAAGTGAAATGAGTGCTTTGGTTACTATCAGTGGTGTCTGGAATTCCAATGTGGATAAGGAGTATCCCAGGGTGGCCTGTAGTGTCAACTTAGTATATGTAGAGACATATGTTACCTTGATTTCTATTTGGGTACCTGCGAAGCAAGAGGTTCTCAGAACTCTTTTACCACAAATGGAAATCTCTTAGACAACTACCCAACAGTCAGCAACAAGTGCAGATAAGGCTAACTGTTGGCCGGCCACAGCTACTGTCTGAGGTTTGGTCAGTTGTGTGGATCCTTGGACCTGGTTCTTTAGCAGGGACATCTGAATTAAGAGATGAAAAGCAGCAACTCTCCAGCATTCCATCATGTACAAATGTGACAATGTCCTCTATAAAGTCTCCAAACTCCCTACTGCTATTTACTGTTATTCCCAAGGAGCTCTCCAAAGAACCAAGGAGTCTGGAGAGGGGTAACTCGTCCAGCACCATGGCACCTGGAAGGCACTGAGGACAGGGGAGACCACCCTCTCCTGTGGGCTGGATAGGCAGGTGTCACCTCTCCCAGGGTGATGGAGACGCAAAAGATTACTCAAAGCCCATTTCTCCAGGGTGGTGAGATGCCCAGAAGGGGTTAATTACAGGAGCAATTCTTTCAAGAGAGAAGAATTCCTAGAAAATAACCCCGAATTAGGTTTTCTCCTAGTTTTTATTGTCCAGGCAAGAAAGTTAAAGAAAAGGAACATAGGTGGTTACAAAGGAAACAATGAGATAATCATCATGGCAACACTTAGTTTCCCAAGAAACTTAAAGAAACAAATGAAGACAAGATGTGGAACATCTCCCAACCAGCAGCCTTGAAGCTTTTAGCTCACATACTTTCCCATCATTAGGTTCAGCTGCAGCAAGGACAACTGCTGGGTTACAAGCAAGGACTCTTTTGCTGTGTTACAATTTTTTTAATCTACAACAGAGATTTTGGTCCTGGGAAAGTTTTCTGTTTTTCCCAAACTTAGCATTTCTATGTGCAAATCTAAAAAGTTAGGCCCTGTAAAATACATTTGCTGTATTAATGTTGGTATCCTCCACAGGCAGGAGGGCAAAAAAACCCCAAATAACCCAATTAAAAAATGAGCAAAGGACCTGAACAGACATTTTTCAAAGCCAAGGTATGGCTCCATCACGTCACAAGGAGCTGTTGGTAGCTGAGCGGAGTTTATGGGGTACTGTTTCCAGGAACTCCAGGAATAATGGGCAGCTGGAGAGGTCATGTACCAAGGTATGGCTCCATCATGTCACAAGGAGCTGTTGGTAGCTGAGTGGAGTTTATGGGGTACTGTTTCCAGGAACTCCAGGAATAATGGGCAGCTGGAGAGGTCATGTGGTCAGAACTTGTAAGAGTCTCTATTTTCAGGATAGACTTGTACATGGTGGTAACACAGCTCTTCTGGCGTATGGTGTGGGACTAAGGGCAGTTTCTTGCATCAGAGACCTGTGGACAACTTGTGATAACCACGGGTAACTCCAGGAGGCATGAGAAAAGGTTGCTAAAGCCTCTCATGAAGGACTCTCTGAGGGCACCAACAGGAGTGCTTGGAATATGGCCATTTAAACAGTGGTAGAGCCTTTATTGTAGGGATCCCCATTCAAGATGGGCCAATTTGCAAGTAACAGCATAAATGGGCTTAAGAAAAATGTGCAAACAAGGAATAAGTTGCTTCCAGAACATCAAAAGAACCCAGAGGATGCTGTGAGTGCTGACAAGGACAATAGTTATTTCTTCACATGTCAGGCAGAGTGACCCTCCACTTACCAAATCATTTTCAGGGATTTAACCAAGGTGTTAGGGCCTCTGACATTACTCCCCCTTTCTTCCAAATGTGAGCTCCCTTTTCAATATTTGTACATCCTGAGCGAATGCCAAATGAATGTCTTCCAAGGAGATCATCATTAATGTAATGTCATACCTGTACTCCTGAAGAAAACCGGATGCAGTTCAGAATTTGCCTGGAAAGACTGTGTACAATGGCAAGGCTGCTGAGGTTCCCTGAGGGTAAGCAGATAAAGTGTATCTTGTTTCTTCATAGTTAAAGGCGAGCTACAGCTAAAAGGCTGATGAAATAGGCACTGAGCAGAACAGACTTAGCCAAATATGCAACAGCAGAACATTTGCCAGCTGCCGACTAAGTGGAGTCATTTCCATAGGGACATAATGGGTATGACCTCAACACCAATGTTGTGGTAATTGACTGTGAATTGTCATTCACTCTTTCCAAGTTTAAAAACAGGCCAAATCAGGAAGCACTGGGGGTATCATCCCTTCACTAAACAGGTTTTTGTCTAATGCTCTTCGGTCCTTCAAGGCCCTGTTCAATTTACATTGGGCCACATTAACTAATTTACCTGGGGAGTAAGTTCTGTGGGGTCCCGTTCTGTCAAGCCAATTTGTAAGTGCCAAAGACCAGATTTAAATTTCATTCATGACTCACTGGTTCAGAGTGTTCCTGCTCACTATGGGATATTTGAGGACAATGAACGCTGTAATTGTACGGAATTTAGACATGAGAGTAGTTCTGATGCTTAAGGTGAGACATACCTATCTGAGCTCTATTTTATATTTAACAACTCCCTAAGATTATCAGAGGATACCTTGCTTAAATTTAGTGTGATCTCCAGGTATAACTGTTATTTGAGCCCAAGTATTTATTAATCCTATAAAGATTTGTCAATTAGCGCATTACCTAAGATGTTAAAATTAAGAATCTTCAGGGGCCGGCCTCTGGCTCACTTGGGAGAGTG